GAACATTGAATGCAGTCTTGTATTTATCTTGTTCCTGGATCTGGATTTGCCAGTATCCGGATTTCATATCAAATTTTGAAAATATACAAGCTTGAGCAACTCTGTCTAATAAATCTTTTTTATTAGGAATTGGATATCTGATCCATTGTAACACTTTATTTAATGGTTTATAATTTATTACCAATCTAGGAACTCCTCTTTCCTTTTCAGCATTTTTGTTAACATAAAAAGCTGCACAGCTCCAGGGTGAAGAACTTGGTCTAATGAGCTTTCTCTGTAGGAGTTCTGCTATTTCTTTTTTACACATTTCTAATAAAACAGTATTCATTTGTATTGGTCTAGCTTTGGTAGGGATTTGGCTTTCAGTGAAAGTTGGTTCATATGGTAAGCTGATACTATGTTTTTTCCTATCCCAAAAAGCATTAGGATGTTCGCTACATATTGAGGTTTCTATTTGCTTTTGTATTGATTGAATCTTTTGTTGGATTGAAGGCATTTGTAATTGCTCTTCAATTACTTTGTATTTAATTTATTGTTTAAGGGTACAAAGAAATTTTTCTTTGCCTTGTAATTGGCTTTTGACATTATTTAATTCTTTTAATTTTGGTTTATGTATGAAATTAAAATGTATTGGAATATATATATATATAGGGAAAAAATGAGATTAGTCCACTAGCTCATATTAACATATGAACCCAACGTCTCAGATTAACTCTAGGTCGATCTGAGGATCACGGATGTCTGGTAATGTTTGAATTTTAGTTTTTTTTTCTACAAATCTAAATCACTTGAAATTTTAGGTGTGTGTTTATCAAAAATAGGTGAATCTTTGAAAAATATCAAAAAAATATTTTACATAAAATAAATTGACCAAAATACCCCCAAAAAGGTTCAAGGGGTATTTTTATCATTTTGTTTTTCCGAATAATTATTTTAATATTTTTATTACGGGCTAATTGATGAGAAGAACACATAACTAAAATTTCAAGTGATTTGACTATGTAAAAAAAAAATTCAAGCACTATCGGACATCCGTGATCGTGAGATCGGCTCATATGTTTATATGAGCTAGTGAACTAATTCCATATTTTTATTTATTTATATATATATATATATATATATATATATTCTTCCATGCAATGTTAAAAATTGGTCTTCCTCCCTTTTCAAACACCAAGATAGCTGCACACTTTTCTCTCTCTAGAATAACATTAACAAAGGTAACTAGAGAAGCTCTCTCTCTCTTTAGCATAATATCCCCAAATAAATTTGCAAATGACTATCAACTCTCCAAATACTTCCTTTCTTAGACAAATCTCCCCTCAAGTAAGAGAGAAAAACGAGTACCTATCCAAAAAAAGAAAAGGGCAATAAGTGATGCAAGACAAGTTCCCTCAAGCAAAAAAAAGAGAAAAGTTTTAGAGATAGAAACAATGCAGGAACCAAAAAATCCAATTTCAATTCGTTACAATAGAATTCTCTTTAAGAGAGAGAGAATTGTTAGGACCCGTTTGGATAGGAGGAAATTATGAATTTTGGATATTTGAATCCAAAAATATTCATGGATTTTGAATTTCAAGGATTCTTGTCATGGATTCCTCAAATCTCTTGTTTGGATATATAATAAAAAATTCATTTATTCTTATGATCATTATCATGTCCATTGTTTGACAACAAATTTTGATATATTTTATCTAATACTCAAAATTTTGGAAAATTTTTGAGATAGCTTCTCTTTCTAATATATTAAGTGGTTTTCTCACTAAAATATTAATACACTTTCTCTTTCAAAAACTTAAAATTTGAAATAGTTTCTCTCTCTAAACTTTTTGATATATTTTTTCTCTCTAAAAAATTTAGATACTTTCTCTCTCTAAAATTTGATATAGTTTTTCTCTGTAAAATTTTGAGATACATTCTCTCTAAAACTTAAAATTTGAAATATTTTCTCTCTTTAAATTTTTTAAGATAGTTTCTCTCTCTAAACAATTTTAAGTAGTCTCTCTCTAAAATATGGTATAGTTTCTCTATCCAAAATTTTAAAGTATTTTCTCTATTTAAAACTTAAAATTTGAGATAGTTTCTTTCTAAAAATTTTGATATAGTTTCTCTCTCTAATAAATTTTAGGTAGGTTTTAACTCTAACATTTGATATACTCTCTCCAAAATTTTGAGATATTCTCTCTCTAAAACTTTCAGATAGTTTCTTTCTCTAAAATTTTAATGTGCTTTCTCTAGCTAAAATTTTTCTCTCTAAAACATAAAGTTTGAGATAGTTTCTCTCTAAATATTTTCACGTAGTTTTTTTATCTAAAATTTGATATAATTCTTAATCTCTAAAATTTTAAGATACTCTCTTTAAAACATAAAGTTATGAGATAGTTTCTCTCTCTGAAAGTTTTAAGATATTTTTCTCCAAAGAATTTAAGTAGTTCTATCTCCAAAATTTAATATAGTTTCTCTCTCTAAAATTTTAAGATAGTCTCTCTCTAAACTTAAGATTTGAGATGGTCTCTCTCCAAAAAAATTAATGTATTTTTTCTCTCTAAAAATTTCATATACCTTCTCTCTCTAAAATTTGATATAGTTTCCCTCTCTAAAATTTTAATATGTTTCTCTCTAAAATTTGATATAGTTTGCCTCAAAAAATTTATGTATTTTCATTCTTCAAGAACAAAATGGGTGGTTTACATTGAGATTTCCAAAATTTAGTCTTAAAATGAATATTCAAGAATCCCACAAAAATCTCAATTCCAATAGAAATGTCAATTCTAAACAAACCTAACCTTTTCAGAAAAAGTAACTTCTAAAAATCTGACTACAAAGAACCAAATGGGCCCTTAGATATGTAACATCTACCTTGGAGATGAATGTTACAAAATGACATGCCCACAATTTTAAAATATACCGTGTTAAAATTACGTAAAGAAATTTTTGTTTTTTGTTTTGAAGTCTACTTCTTCGTTCAAGTCATGCACATAATTGTTGATATCATTCATTCCACAAAATCTAAAATCTAAATTTAAAACAGATTTTAGAAAGAGAACTATGGAAGAAATTTAAATTGAGAAGAAAGGATAAAAAAAGAAAGAAGAAAAAAAAAGAGAACTATCGAAAAAATTTAAATTGAAAAGAAAGGATAAAAAGATAAAGAAGAAGAAAACACACATTTACATGGTTCGGTCTATTAGACCTACATCCATGGATCAAGGGCTATTTGGTCGTGCCCATTACGTCATTCATCCAATCTTAAATAGAAGTTACAAGATAACCACTAAATAAAAACTAATTCCCCAAATATCTCTTGATTATATCCCTAACTTATCACCAATGTATTCTTCACATTTAGTTATCCAAAATATGAGATATGGATAACTATATCATTCGTATACCATATCAAGTAGCTAGTGTACTTGCTTGTTGGTGCGTTGATATCTATCAATACTCATCCTTAAGTTGGTGCGCTAATATCTATCAAGCCCAACTTAATTAATGCTTCTTGAAAGTGTACTTGCTTGTGGCATTTGTCAGATATCAACAACTTGATTTTTGCTTTTGACAAATGGAATAGTAATTTCTTTTGCTTGAACTCTCTATCACAAAATTACAATTTGTTTTTATGTGCTTAGTAGTCCGTTTATGAAATACAGGATTTGATGCGATGTATATAACAGCTTGGTTGTCGCAATTTGTAACCATTGGACGTAAAATATTGAAACCCATATCTTTGAGAAGATATTATAGCCAAATTAATTCCAAGGTTGTTGTTGTCATGGCTCTATATTCGGCCTCTGCACTAGATCAAACAACAACCAATTGTTTCTTACTTTTCCAAGTTACAAGGTTATCCCTTACAAATGTATAATATGTTGTGGTGGATCTTCTATATGTATGACTATTTGCCCATTCAACATAAAAAAAAACCAATAATATCTGTATGACCATTTTTTCAAGAGATAACTTAAGGTACCTTAAAATTCGATTGAAAGCTTCAAGATGTATAGTTTTTGGAGAATGCATGAATTGACTACCATACTGTCTACATAAGCAATATCAGGTCTAATGACAGTATAATATATAAGTCTACCAACCAAACGTTGAAACATCCTAATATCTTTCAAAGCTTTGCCCAAGTCTATGTTAACGTTATAATTTGTTTCAATTGGAGTATGAATAGGTTTACAACCTATCTTGTCGGTTTTGTACAAAAGATCTAAAACATATTTTTTTTGAGAAATAAAAAACTATTCTGTGAGCGTTATACAACCTCAATTTCAAGAAAATATTTAAGTTTTTCTAAATCTTTAATATCAAACTTCATATGAAAGTAACCTTTCAATTTTTTACAGCTTTTGAATTACTTCATATCATAACAATGTCATCAACATAGATAAAGTCAATAACATTCTCGGATTGCTTTTTTTTACAAATAGGAAAGAATCAGCATTACTATGGGAAAATCCTATATCAACGAGAACTTGACTTAACTTTGCAAACTATGCTTTAAGAAACTGTTAAAGCTTATAAATTGCTTTCCTGAGCCGACAAGCGAGAGTTTTGTTGCCTTCATGAGGATATGACCAAGAGAAGGTTTCATATAAACTTCTTCTTTCAAATCTCTATGCAAAAAAACATTTTTTGCACCTAGTTGATATAAAAGTAAGTCATTGTTAACAACAATAGAAAGTAAAACCCTCACAGTATTCATTTATACCACAATAACAAATGTTTCATTGTATTCCCTTTGCAACAAGGTAACTCTCAATAGTTCCATTACTTCTGTATTCCACTCATTAAACTAACTTGCATCTAACTAGTTTTTTCCCTTTAAGAAGAGTGACAATATCCCAAATATAATTTTTTTTTAAGGCAACTAGTTTTTCTTTAATAACATTTTTTTATGTAAACCTATTATTTTTAATTTAAAATTTTATTTATTTACCTCAAAAAATAGATTTTTAAGAGGGAACTTATTTTTAAATGGACTCACAAGAACCATAAAAAAAAGTAAGAAGGAGGTTATCTCGTGATAAGCAACCAATTGTTTACAGGGCACCATCCACTCCCATCCCGGAGACAGGACGAGAGAGAAAGGCCTTCTCAATAACCACAAAAACAGGAAAGCCACAAATAAAAGAACAACGTATCATGTCTATCAAAACAGCACATCCTCACCCCCAAAAGAAAAACCAAAATTATGAACACCCCCAAAAACCCAGAGCCCAGGCCCCCAACCCCACTGTCTCATGGGCCCATTAACACTCGGGTGGCTTAGCAGGAAACCGAGCTGAATCCTCGCAGTAATCATAAACAAGGTGGTGGGCCCTAACCCACGCCATCTGATGGGCCTGATGTACGTTAGGCCCGGCAAGCCAATCACTGGCCCACCAGTACCTCTTCCCGTCCCCAACAGACGCCGTGCTGCAAATCCGCACGTGCTCTGAGGTAGGGCACTCACACGCGTCAATGTTAAATCCTCTGTAAGTGGAGACAAAGGGGGCGTGGCTCCAATCCGTTTTCACCCTTCCTCCTTGCGTTGCCCAATCGTCCGCGTTCCAGATAGAGCTATACACCCCCATTGATTGGTCCTTTGGAAATGGAATCCCCTCTTTCTCTTTGTTTCTAAACACTCGCAATGGCGTTTCATCTACCAGAAACCTGAAAAAACAAATTTTAACTCTCTCTAAGTTCAAGTAATTTCTTTTTTGACATATTTAGAAGAGATAAGAGGGTTTTGAGGAGTAATACATGACTTGGTTTTGGTTCCAGAAGAGGGAGTAGGAGTGGAAGTCTTTGGTGGGATCGAACCAGAAACTGTGGCGCATCTCCCTGTTTCCAACTCCATTGACATATATGTTGGTTTGGACCAGGTAGGGCTCCCCCGTCGTGTTTCCGAGGAACTCGAAGTCGAATTCATTGTGATTTGGTCCATCAGAAGACATCTAGAGACATAATCACAACAATTATTGGTGTCGCATATGTAAATCGGATTTGCATATTCATATGAATCGTATCTAAGAGATATACTGATAAAGAGTATTGTTTTTTTACTCTTGAATTTGTTTTGAAGTCTGAGAAAATAAAGGAAACTGAGAATGTGTGGGCGTCTGGTTTCTTACATAGAATGCGGTTACGGTACCAGCAGAGTCGCCTTCGACGAGCTTAATCTCAACACTCGTCTTCCCAAATAAGTACTTGCTCTTCGAACCAAATCCAGCACCTGAAAGACAGTAATACATCGGAACGGCATAAAACGGAATCCACAGAATAAGTATCCAGATAGAGTGAGAGAGATGAGGTAGAGAAACGGAATAAGAAAAGCTATAAGAGAAAAGAGGTATATGGTCAAAAAAACGGAAAGAAAAGAGGGAGAGAGAAGATAAAAAAGCAACTCAAAGCAATAAGAGAAAATACGGAGAGAGACGATAAGAAAGAGAGACAAAGTAACTGAATCGATCTCGAGAGAGACAGCTCGAAGAAGAGAGGAGAAGACAAGCTCAGTGAAGATAGAGAGAGAAAGATGGAAGAGAAGATGATTTGAGAGAGATTCAAAATGAGGCATAATACCAGACGAGTTATCGAGCTTGAGCTTGAGAGTTTCTCCCTCGTACATGAAATGGTCTTGAGCCCAACTGGGCTCGAAAAGCTCATCGAAGGTCGCACAATACACAACAGTAGTAGCTATGGCGAATGCATACACAACCCAACCATAGAAAGAGAAGCTCATGCTGAGCGCCATTAGAGAGACAGGTCTTGGTGCTTCAGGTGAGTTGTTGTGCTCCAGAGTAGGAAGGCCACGTTTTATAGCCGTTGCGGCAAACTTGCGAGGCAAGCAGCATTTCATCCGACGTGTCATTTTAGGGGGGGCCACGAATGCCACGGCATCATGGGCGGAGTGGAGACAAAGAGATGGGTTCCCCAGCGTAGCTGGCACTTGCCGGATAAGTGGGGGTCGCCCTTCCGATCCGTCGCTTTCTCAAAGGCTGCAGCAAATCGGATTGTGCCATGTGGGATATTTACAGCTGTCTCTTGAGTGTCCCAGCTGGTCTGTACGGTTCAGTTTAAAGTTGGAGGTTTTGGCTTCGATGACGTCATTGTCCAGCTGGCAGAGGCCACAGTGAGGCCTGCTTTTTGGTGCGGTGAGGTTTAACATTATTTCTTCAAATTTTGTTTTTCTTTTTGGGTGGGCACACAAGGCATCCGGAGACGTGCCGGGAGCTGTGTATGTACTTGGATTTATTCCGGAAAGATTACTCGAGGCCTTGCCTTCACAAAAGAAGCATCCCTAATACTCAAAATTTTTCTAGACTTAGACCGCATTTTTACAATATGCTGTCCAGATGTATACAGCATCCCTCTTCAATATGGATGCAAATAGTTGGTCCATCTAAGAACAATCGTAATTTATGTCTAAATATTTTCTTAATATTATTATTATTTTTAGTTTTCAAATTTATGTATTTTTCATATTCATGATCTCTATCTTAAACATTATGTACTCTCTAAAGATTAGGATCCGAGTATATTAAAAAATGTATTTATTGTCATGCCCACATTTCTACAATATGCGCGATGATCGTATGATAACCGCATCCCTTTTTCCAAAGTGCGTAGGTCACCTTGTATTATACAAGTTAAGGCCACCTCTTAATTATATTATATAAGTGAGGCCCGCCTCTATAAGCATGTGAAATTCTGGTTTCAGAATTATGACGGATGTAAAATTTATGTTCAACCTAAATTATAAAAGTAAAGTTTAAAAATGGTGCTGGGTAAACATATTTATAAAAAATTTGAAAATATTCGAAATAGACAGTGAAGATAATTGGTTAAAAGATGCATTATTTTGAGGACTTGAAATTTGTTTTATTCTTTATATCTGTATGTTTTCTGATCAAGATGACCAATTGGAATACTCCTTTCTACTAGATTTTTGAAGCGCACCTTACTTCTATAATATAAAGTTGCAACTTTGTATAAAGTCTTTCCCTTTTTAAAACTACAAAAATATCAGATATCATTCAAAGCTATATACATACATATTTTTTTCCCTACCTAAAATGCAATAGATAGCATTTTTTGGCACTAAGATGATAAGATCGAACACGTAGCGAAAAGCAACACGAAAAAGTGTTACAGAACTAATATATCCATAGCACCACGATATGGACCCGTTAGATCATATATCCATAGCACCACGATATGGACCCGTTAGATCATATATCCATAGCACCACGATATGGACCCGTTAGATCCATAGCACCACTTTGGCCTTCCTATATAGCCAAGGGGGTAAGACTAAAAGGTGACGCTATAGATCTAATAGACCCATCGCTCTTTTGTTTTGGATCTGTTGGTTCCGTAGCGGCAAGAAAGCGCTTGCCATTTTAGGTATAAAAATGAGAAAAATATGGTATGCATGTAATTTCAAAAGGTATTTGGTATTTATGTACTTTTAAAAAATTTAAAACATATCAATGATAATTTTTCTAAAATGAAAAAGTAGAGAAATTAGGATAATATCTGTTAAATTTTCAAAAACTCTACACATTTTTCTACAAAAATGAACTTTATGAACCTATTTTCATTTTTCTTCTATTTTTTTTTTTCTAATTTCGAAAATAAACTTCACGGGCCTAAAAAATCTATAAAGACTTTATGAACTTAAAAAGTCCATAAAGCCTTTATAGACCTATTCAGTTCATAAAGGTCCAAGCCTTGGGGCTAAGCACCTACTTAGGGCCTTAAGGCAGCAAGTGTATGGTGTACACCAGAACACAATATATGTAAAAGGTTAAGAAGGATTATAAGATTTCACATGCATTTTATGCTTCCATTTAGGCCCAAACATCCCCTATATTCTTTTTGGGGTAGTTTAGCTGGGAAAGGGTTCTCTACTAATAATAGAAATAGGATTTAAGAAGTCATATTGTGGCGTCTAGCCATCCTAATCACTTAGGCTTGAGCCCGCTCCTGACATCCCCTATTTTAATATTTTGTTATAATATACTCCTTCATGTATACATGGTCTCCATGTAGAATATATATATAATTTTTTAAGATCTTGGCACCCAATTTAAAATTCTGGAAGATTGTTTTCAAAAAGGAAAAATGTGGATATCTCATTAATGGAACTATTCTCACTAAAAAAAAAAAAAAAAGGAATATAAGTCACTCTTTCGGAACCTTGTGTTTTGAACTGATCTATCACTCAAGAATATATTAAAGTCCCGGATTGGAACCTGAAGTCAACAGCCAAACTAGGGGCATTTTGAGAAAAAAAAAAAAACTCAAAAAAGAGGCTTGAGGATAAAATAGAAAAAATGGATACATTTATTAAATACCGCAAATTATAAGCAATATTTATGAAAAATTGTCTATGACCAAAGCTAATTTTTGGGCCATCATAAGGATTTTTTAGATTGGAATCACATTTTCCCGTTTGCGTTTTGAAGTGTGGTTTTACGTTTTTAACTTGAAGCGTAAGCTTCATGCTAATTGCACCAAATTGTAAAACAAAAATTTATCCAGATGTACATTACATTTGATCTATATAACATCTTACCCATATATTTTTATCTAGGGAAATTATCACAAATATACCTTAAATTTTGTCTATTTAAAAAAAAAAAAAAAAAACTCTCAACTTTCATAAACCTGCCCACACCCTTTTTGTTCAATTTTGGGCATTTTAAACCTCTCCTACACTATTTTTGTTCAATTTTGGGTGTTTTTTGACCACGTGAAGCACAATTACGGTACTTTATGTAAACCCATACGACATTTTAAGTATTGTAAAAACAAACTTATACGACACTCGAAATCCTGTAAACCCTCCTTGTGTTTATATTTATCATTTTCATCTCTCTAATTCTTTTTATGTTTATCTCTTATTTCTCTCTAATGCTTTTTATATGTATCTCTTCTTTCTCTGTAATAATCCTAAAATTTCAAAAAAAAAAAAAAAAGAGAAAAAAAACTTTTAATAAGTAATGGTTCATGTGTGAGGTGTAACTTAATAAAAGAATATTATAAAGTGTCGTAAAAATTTAAATAGAAGAAGTGAGGACTCCCATCCTAGAAAATTTTGAGATCTCTCTCTAGTCGAAATGCAGTGAGCTCTTTCTCTCTCTAACCGAATTTTTATCGGAAGCTCCCGCTCAAATATTTTAGATAAGTGACTTCATTATCTTGAAATATAATCCGTTCTTTTTAAAAATGAAATGAAATAATAACTTCTGCTTATTATCATGAATTTTAGGCGCGATAAATTTTATGCGCAAGCGACCTCTTTATTTTGAAAAATAATCTTTTTAATAAAATTGTGATATTGTATCGATGTTATAAATTTTAAATGTTGTAAATTCTTAGAAATAAATTTATTTATTTTTCTTGTCTGTTGTTAGAAAATTTTAGATACTGTAAAATTATTAGAAATAAATATGATAGTTCTGCTTTTACTAAAATTGTGAGATTTATTTCTACTGTTTTTGAATATTTAGACATTGTAAAATTCATGTGCAAATGACTGCCTTATTATCTGGGAACTGATATTTTTGCAATTGATTATAGCATTGTCTGTGAAATGTTTATTTGTGAATTGACATCCTATAAATTGTGATAATTCTGTATTCTTGAATTTCTTTAAGAGTTTTTCCATACATTGGCAATTATGCTAGAATGTCTTTACGAGCTGCTACCTTTCTAAATTTGAGCCCAAAATATTTGATTGGTTATTTTGGAAATGTTATTGAAAGCGACTGTTATTAATGGTTTCAGTGAAATTCATATTAGTGATTTCAGTGATATGTTGAATACATTATATTGCTGCTTTCGAATGTTTAAAGAGATTTCAGTGATATGTTGAGTACATTATATTGCTGCTTTCGAATGTTTAAAGAGATTTCAGTGATATGTTGAGTACATTATATCACACCCCAAGAATTTACAATACTGATAGTCCTGAGATGTGACAATCAAAACATATATACATTTCTTGATTAGAAAAATTTACAGTGGCGAATTCTTACAAGGTAACAAAAGAAAGTTACAACAACAACAATATCTTCCAAGGTTGATCTTGACTAGCACTCAAAATGAATCCGCATTTATCCTGAAAAAAAAATGTTTACCATAGTTTGATGAGTTTGGCTACTCAGTAAGTGATCATCATAATCCTTAAAATAATCATGGTTGAAAGATATCAATATTTTCAAAAAGGAGATCTATTAACAGAAATGCATCAACAGTTTCACTTTCAATAAATGCATAATTAAGTATAATCCGAATAATTGAAATGCATATAACACTTTAACGGCAATGCATAATTCAAAGGATTTCACCAAATACCCTATTGGCGTCCCAAGTAGGTCACCTATGTACCCCATCAGTGTCCTGATGAGTCCACTTAATCCCTATCGGTGTCTTAGATAGGTCCACTTAATCCCTGCAGGTCCACTTACACCTCACCGACGTACCGGATGAGTCCACTTAATCCCTTTTGGCGTCCCAGATAGGTCCACTTATACCTCACCGACGAACCGGATGAGTCCAATTGCATACTTAAAATATTTCTAAATCTTTTTAAGCATCCGAAAGCAGCAATATCATGTACTCAACATATCACTGAAATCACTAATATGAATTTCACTGAAACCATCAATAACAGTCGATTTCAATAACATTTTCAAAATAACCAATCAAATATGTTGGGCTCAAATTTAGAAAGGTAGCAGTTCGTAAAGACATTCTAGCATAATTGCCAATGTATAGAAAAACTCTTATAGAAATTCAAGAATACGAAA